TGTTACTTTTTACCATTAAAACCCTTTCTTTCCAGGAGATAGAAAGTTTGGTGGCCTTGACAAGGATCCCAGCAGTGTGGTGAGGGCTCTGTCTCAGGATTGCCCTGTGCAGAAAAAGTTCCATTTTACACAAAGCAGGCGTGGTGCTGGCTAGAGATCTAAGGGGCGAGGGAGAGTGGCACTTTCAGTATCAAAAGGGACAGCCTGGTGTCCCATCACCCCAGAGCATCCGGGGAGTCAAAGGATGGAGACCCATCTCAACCGGGTGTGAGGGTCAGAGAGGAGAGGGCATGAGCACCCCAACTCCCAGGTACTGAGCAAGGGCTCACAGGGCTTGCTCCACCCTGGGACAGGGCAGGTTGCGTGAGAACTTCTGGAAGCCCTCTCAATCCTAGCAGATGCTGTGCACTTGGACTTGAGGGTTAACCAGGAGCAAACTTTTTTGTGTGTGTGCTTTTGCTTTAGCTCTGATTGGATTCTTTTGAGTCCGATCTAGAATGGCTGAAGCTTCACTCAGCCCAGTCCCGTGACTACTGCAGGCCTGAGCAGAGGAAGGGACGGTGACTGGACTGAGATATAGACTAGTCTCTACATGGTAGTTGAGGAGGCACTTTCCTGGCTCTGCCTCATTTTGCTGTACCATGTAGATCATTGGCCCCTTGGTACTGTCACGGACACGTCTGTGCCTGGGACCGGGCTGGGCACAGAGAGGGAGGTTGGAGGTGCTTCCTGCGCAGGGAGAGCCCCGTTGGGAGAGGAGACAACCTGGAATCCAGTTACATTGCAGAGGGATGAGAGAAGACCAAGAAGATTGTGGGAGGCCAGAGACTCGGATGATGGGGCAAGGAGGAGTCATTTGAGCTGGGTATTAAAGAGTAGTGGTACAGTGGTTAAGTACTCAGCTGCCAAAAGGCTGGGGGTTTGAAGCCACCAGATGCTCTTTGGGAAAAAGATGAGACAGTGGGCTTCCACACAGGTCCTAACCTTGGAAACCCTATGGGACAGTTCTACTCTGCCCTGCAGGGGTCATTATGGGTTGGCATCAACTTGATGGTAGTGGGTTTGGTCTGGTTTGAGTTTTGAAGGCTGAGTCAGGAATTGCAAGGAGACAAGAGAGGGAGAAAGCTCTTCAAGCAGAGAGGGATCGCCACAAAACAGCCAGTAGGAAAAAGCCAGTAGCTAAATTCCAATAGATTCACCACCAAACCACAGTTCTTGTTACGTTCATCCCCACCCCTGCTCACCTTAGCTTACGGACACAGAAAGGGCCTGAATGCCAGGCTCAGGAGTCTGGCCGTATCCTGAAGGGACCTGAGCAGAGGCATGGCAGGGTGCTTATTGTGTGGTGAGGTGGGGCTGCCGATGCGTGCAGAGTGGGTGGCAGAGACCAGGCGGCAGGGATCCTGAAGCTCGAGCCAGGCCTGCATTGGGCTGGAGCTCCGCTGGCGCTGTGTGTGTGTGCGCACAATCAGATGCACGGGCACACTGGGTACTTAGGGCATGATGCCGATGAGTCAGGCTCGTGGCCATCAATAGGAGGCAAAAACGTAGAGGGTCATCTGAGTGGGACAGGGAGAGAGAATCAGGCCTTCAGAGGGGAGAGCAGGTGGGTTTCCTGTGGCTGGGACTCCCAGGGTGCAGTAGCAGCAGAGTGGAGGGTATAAGCCCACGCTTTTGGGGAGGAACAGCCATCCTGGCTGGGGAAGTCAAGGAGTCATCTCCTCATCTTCTGGACTCACAGATACCAGAGAGGTGGAGGTAGCATGGCATAGCCACTGTGTGTGTGGGAGGGGGTGGGGAGAGAGGTGGAGCTAGATGCAAAGGCTGATCCCTTCTCTCCTCCAGGACAAAGGCCTCTCCTGGAAGGGTAGACTGAGGGCAGGTGTGAGGAGATGGGTCAGAGACGCATCTAGATGAGAAAGAAAGAGGAGCCAGTTTTGCGTTGGGCTGCAGCTCCTGGGAGAGGTGGCAGAAGTGTGCAGCTGGCAGTGAGAGCACATGGGGGCTGTGCCTCGTAGGATCGGCTAGCTTAGGAGCGTCCCCTGACAGTGGCTCTTTTACATCTCAGTACCCACAGGGCGCAAGAAAAGACTCGTGACCCCAGCCTTCTTCATCTTTTTTTTGCATCTTGTCTCCACCCTCTGAGCAGATGGAGACCCACCGACAGGGGAGAAGGCTGAGAAGGCAGGTAGGAGCTTGCCAAACCTGCAGCTGGTGAATTGGTAGCAGAGTATCCACACCTCACGCTTGTAATGCAGTTGTTCTTCAGAGGGTGGACGCGGCTTTCTTCCCCACTAGGTTTGGCGTGGGGCAGTGTCTCTTAGCACTGAGCCAGTGTCGATAGGCCGTCTCCTCACCCAGGGCCTACGGGGTGATGGAACCTCCCCCAGGAGCGCTGGCTCTGTGCTTCTGCCTTGGTGTCAGAGAGACCAGGGGCAGGGTCTGAGCACAGCCTGCTGACCACATGCCTCCCTTCCTGAGCCTCAGTGTCCCCGTTTCTATCATATGGCAGCCAACATTGTCCTCCCTCCCTTTTGTGGACTGCCACAGGGTCAGGTGAGGTAGAAGCTTCTAAAACCCACTTGGCCATGGTGACAGATGACCTCAGACTGCTTGCATGGGAGGGGGCCAGGTAGGCGGGGCCCACAGCCTGAACAGAGCCCTTCGTGAGCCCAGGCCTCCTTTACCCTCCGCTGCCCGCTGCCTCTGCGGTATGTGTTGGGTAGGACAATAGGAAATGGTCCACGTCTGACCATTCAAGCCCCCGCCGTAGCTCAGGCCGGCATCATTTGGGATGCTGAACCGAGGTGGCTGACGGAGGGGCTTTGTTCAACATCACACAACAAGTGGAGTCTCCGTCCCTAGTTTGCTTTTCTGTCCACTTTCAGAGCCTCCTCTGCCTCGAGAGCTGCCACACTTACGCCCTCCTCTCGGCAGGCCTGATGCCGGTAGCTCAGTGCCTTGGGTTTTCCACTCAGCTCCCGGAATACTGGGATTTCTTGGCATCATGGGCTGAAAGCATATTAACTCCATTAGCCGAGAGTCAGGGGTCAGGGATTAGATTGTGTTAATGGGTGGGAGGTGGCTAGGGAAGAGAGGACCAGGGGCTAAAGGGCGACGAGTGTTGAAAGACACTTGGAAAGGCCTTTGGAGCCTCTGCCTTGCGTTTGCTTTCTCTCTGAGCACGCCTGCCTTCCGGGAGACCAGCAGCTCCTGAGGGGCCCAGGGTCTCTGCTTCTCAGGCAGAGGGCATTGGCATTTCCTGAGAACCACTTTGTGCCCAGCACCATGCTAAAGGCTTTAGGTTGGTCTTCACAACAACCCTGCAGGGTGGAAACGGGTGAAACTGATGGCCTGCCCGGCATGGCTCGAGTTGGAGTTGGGTACGCTGAGGGGACTTAATCCATCTAAGAAGGCAGGTCTTGTTGGGGAGCATCGTTAGCAAAGCAAAAACCAAGAGGAAGGTTTTCATACCCACAGAGGCAGACCTGGAGGGTTCGCAGGTGCGGAAGGGGAATGGAGGCAAGCAGAGGAGGGAAGTTTGAGGGTAGACCGGTGTTAACTTGGGTCAAGAGAAAAAGAAAGCCCTAGAAGAGGGAGGGGAGGAAAAAGTGGGGTTGAGGTGTAGGGGGAGGAATGGGGAAGCGATTGGGAGGTTAGCTACGTTGTTGAGTTCAAAGATGATCTGAAATGTAAACCTTGCTCAATTCACAAGGAAAAGTTAAAAATGAGAGATGGGAACGGAGGCTCAGAGAGCCCAAGCAACCTGGATGGTAAGCAGAACACAGATCAGCTTCCCTTGACACATAAAAGGAAGTACATGGTCTAAGCCCACTACCTTCCCAGGGCCCAAGTGCTTCTGAAGGTACCAGTTTGGAAACACCTGTAACCATGGTAAACACCGAAGAGGTGCCCACTTTGGCAGTAGCTGGCATGGGAGACTCCAGTTACTGATAAAGCCTTCTTCCTGTGTAATCTGGCAAGAGAGACACGTAAACAGAAGGGTGTGCACTGCCACCTAACACATGCAGTAATAGAGGTCTGCTCCAGGCAGAGAGCTAGGACCGAGGACTGGCATGGGCAGAGTTGGGGCCTACAAAATACCTAAGGTTCAGAATCAGAATGTCTGGCTTGTCTGTACCATCTTCGTGCCTAAAAAAAGAAGAGTAGCTTTTGCAGCGCCAATACAGTTCATTGAATACCTACTGCACACCAAGCTTTGGACCAGATCCTGCCTAGAATGGGATTCTACAAAGACACAAGAAACAGCACTGCCATCTAGGAGCTGCGAGATGGATATTGAGAAAACAAGCTGTACTGAACCAGCCTGAGAGTCAGGAGCCAAAGCAGGTCATTGTGGGAAGGTTTCCTGGAAACAGTGTGTGTGGAGGGGCATGGGACACAGAGGGAAGGCTATTGTGGCTCTCAGAGGACTGAGGTACTACCAGTAACCCCCCTGTGTTCTGCATTTGTCCATACAACAAATGCCTGCTGGATGCTTGGAGCTAAGAATGTGGCGACTGAGATGCGACAAATGTGGAGCTAGCTAAGAACACATGGCATGGTTCCTGTCTCCGGGAACCGTCTAGGACGACATAGCAGGGAAAGAAGAATCCAGTCAAATGGGCAGTTGTTGCTGAGCTGAAGTCTGAAGGGTTAACCAAGCAGAAAGGGAGGGTAGAGCTTATACAAAGGCCAGTGGAAGATGAGACGTATGTTGCCGAGAAAGAGCAAGGGGCTGGAGGGGCAGCAGCCCCTGAGGGGGGAGGTGGGCCCTGAAGACCAACCCCCAGGTAGGGCTGGAGCACGGAGAGAAGATGCTTCTCTTCAGGGGAGGGGACATGGACCCAAACAAGCCCGGGCATACTGGAGAGAGAGGCCACAGATGGCCAGAACCCAGGGACAGACTCACTCATGCCTAGAGGACCACAGCATTGACAGTGAGGACAAGGCGGTTGAGATGAGCTTTGAAGGAAACGGAGAGCCTCCTGGTGGTGTAATGGTTACGAGTTGGGATGATAATCTCAAGGTGTGCAGTTCAAAACCACCAGCCTTTCTACAGGAGAAAGATGAGGCTCTTTACTCCCATGGAGTTACAGTCTCAGAAACCCTCAGGGGCAGTTCTACCCTGTCCCTTACAGGGTCACTATGCATCAGCATCAACTCCATGGCAGCCTGGTTGTGTGTAGGGGTGGGCTGGGGGTGGTTAGAGGTCTTGGGAGAGATGTTTCAGTCCAGGGCAGCTGGAGGGCATTTGGGAAACGGTCGGGGGGT